TAAGATGGAAAAATTTTTAATGTATGACAAATCTCATAATTTAGATAATACTATTAACATTAGTAAGCCACATTTTAGAAATTGTTCTGTGGTTATATACAGTTAAAAAGATGGCTTGATGAAGGATCTAATAGATAAAATGATACATCTTATGTATCTTTAAGTACAACTTTGATTTGTTAGTTTACTACTTTAGGAAAAGTACTTATCTTTATTTTGGATTATCACTGTCAATTTTCCATAGTGACATATTCTTTTTTTAAAAAAAAGGTTTTTATTGGGGAATTGTGGGAGGGGAACAGCATTGGGGAATCAGGGAAGGGGAACAGACAGGTAGACAAATTGCTGTTTTGTTCTTCAGTCTGGTTGTGGAGGACATCGCTTCACTGGCCCATGTTGGCATGATCATTGCACTCTTCCTGGGTGAGGCAATCGGTTGCCCGTCATGGGTCAGCCGCTCACAGCAGCTCATGGCAACTCTTGCCCGCTGCCAGCCACCCAGGGTAAGTCATTGTGGTTTTGATATGCATTTTCCTAATTGTGTGATGATGAGTGATGTTGAGCATCTCTTTATATGCTTGTTGGTCATTTGTATGTCTTGTTGGAGAAATGTCTATTCAAGTCCTATGCTCAGTTCTTAATCATGTTGTTGTTGAGTTGCAGGAGTTCTTTATATATTCTGGGTATTAACCCCTTATCATATATATGATTTGCAAATATTTTCTCCCATTCCATTTCATAGGTTGCCTCTTTACTCTCTTGATTATGTCCTTTGATTTTTATTTTTAAAAAGTCTTAAACTATTTAGATATTTTCATGCATGGTATGAGGTGAGGGGCCAATTTTATTTTTGTCTAAATAGTTAACAATTGTCCTTTTTTTCTTTTTTGATTCCACCATCCCTTTTTGTGATTCCATAATATTAAATCCACATCTACGTATGTATATGTGTCTGTTTAAATGTTTTCTATTTGATTCACTTTACCTATGGATACTTAATCTATTAGTTTCATAATACATTCCAAATATATGTTTGGGTCAAAAGGAATTTTTGTTGAGATACTAAAAAGCACTAATACAATAAAATCATTGAAACAAGGATAAGAGTTAAGCAACAAAAGAGTAGGGGATGATAATTATGTAGAACATCTAGAAAACGCTGTAGTTGATCATAAAACATAACCCTAAGCAATCTAGTAGTAACCAGAAAAAGAAAGATGACATTTTTGTCCTCTTATCAAGTTAGGATGCTGACTCACCCATAGAAAAATTATTCCTGATTGTAATCGCTGAGGAGGAATTTTTCATATTATTTTTTATATAAGAGATTAGTGTAAGGAACAGTGTACTTGATTATATTTCTACACAAATGATGATAAAATTTACATGTCATTATATCTTAAAAAAAAGTCAAAAGTACAATGTTAAATTATATATGAGTTGTTCTAACGAGAATGACGTTATCTGGATATGATGCTTTTTTATTATTTCGCTGATTAATTGTTCCTAGCTGCTTGAATCAGGTATTAGTTCCTCTTATTATTTTTTGTTGTTTTTATTTTTTGCAGACATTCACATGATAGTTGCTGAACTTTCAGATCTATTGAATGAGAAAATTAGAACAATAAAAAGCTATTATGACTTCATTAACATTTTTACGTACATTTGTATTTTAGTCATAAAAGCTAACCACTAACATTTATGGAGCACTAACTTTGTATCAGATATTGATTTGTTGTTTATATAGATTCTAATGGTTTGAAGACTAAAATAATGCGAATTCTATGAGGGCTGAAATTTCTCTTTTGTCCACCGGTATATCTGCCAGGTCCCTCTACTGGAAAGTTACTATTTTTTCCTTTGTAATTAATGAATATCTTATGGGGTTATAATTTTAAAACTCGGGCTGGCCGAGTGGCGTGATGGTTAAGAACTGGCTTGGGATGCCAGAGGGCCCCGGTTCGGATCCCACATATGAGGGCCAATGACACTGCCCTCTACAGCTAAGATGCTGAACAACAGCTCAACCTGGAGCTGGGATGCTGTGAGCTGCCGGCGACGGCGTAGGCTGCAGCCCCTGTGGCAATGGGTTGCCATGGGCTACCATGTGTAGCCAGCAGCCAGCTTGAACGGCCAGCAGCCTCAGTGAGCGGCCGTCCAGAAGCCGGCGACTGATGTGCCTCTCCCGGGAAGAGCGCAATGATGGTGCCAACTTGGGCCAGTGAAGCAGCGTCCTCCACAACTAGACTGAAGAACAAAAAGCATAGCAACTTGTCTGTTCCCCTTCCCCCAATTCCCCAGCACTGTTCCCATCCCCCCAGTTCCCCAATAAAAATCTTAAAATAAATAAATAAGTAAAACTCTGTACATGTCCTGTGTTTCATTATCATTTTACACTTCAGTTTTAGAATTCATTGCCTGAAAAAGTTATTACTATGTTGGTTGTCAAGTAAAAAATTTCTAATTCCATTATTCTTTCTATATTTACTAGCTGTAAGAGCTTTCACTTCTCATTTGTTTATCAGTGTGGAAGCCTGAGTTCTTATTTTATTCAATATGTTATTGCCAGTTACTATCATTAGTTTGCTCAAATTTGGTCAGTGGGAGCCCCTTCAACATGACTCCTATGTCGTTTAACATGTCTCCATCATTCTTTGAGTATGTCCTTTTGGCACAAGATGTTCCCAGCCCCATTCCTATAATCACCCTTTGCTCCAAGGAGCCCAGGTTCCTTTTAGTGTGACATTGAATTTAGAAACCAAGATCTATGTGTTAGGAGTGCTTTAGTTACTGGAGTGTTCTTGCTTCTCAACTCTTGCTGGCAGAGTTAAAAAATAGGTGTGTGTGTGTGTGTGTGTGTGTGTGTGTGTGTGTGTGTGTGTGTAAATATAACTAGTAAAATGTGATAGTGGAAAAAAGGCAGTATTGTTAAATTAATATATTCATTTAATGCAATTAAAATGTTTATAGTTAAACAACTAAATATTGTAGGTCACCATTAATATTATGTCACAAATATATTCATAGTGGTTATAACTTTTTGTTTCGATAACTGATTATGTCCTTATATGTGGGGTTGCCCTATATTCTGACATATAATGCAGTTTCACCAAGGAAGAGAATATGCCTGGTTTTAAATATCCAGAGGAAAATGTATACCTTGATTTAGTGGAAATGGATATTTCCACTACTGAGGTCTGTAATCTTAAATGCTCTGATCCCTCAAGTGACAGGATTTATGAACAAATGGATTTATGAAGAGCCTTTCAAGAAACATATTCATGAGTGGAGAGGCTTCTGTATATGAAAATTATATGGAAATATTAGTGTAATTTTCCAGTGTTACTTTTCAAAAAAGAAAAGAAGCTGACACAGATTCCGTTATGTCATTGCTTTAGATAATGATCATCAATTATTGACCAGAATTTAGCCCTCTCTTCTCTTGGCAATGAAAGGATAGGCACTCAGTCCTTTCTAGTTGCTTAGTTTTCTTTTGAATCTTTTCTACTTTGGTGTAGGCTAAGGAAAATATTTTCATGGATTACAAGTCTTTATGCTCACCTCCTTAATACAGTGCTGTATTCTAAGGTACAGATCTTTTGGGTTCAGCATGCTCAGACTGCTAGGTGCTCTCCCATCATTGTTTTTGTATTTGAACTATGAACCTTTTGTGCACAAGCTGAGCTATCATCTGGCCTTCAGTTGGCAAAAGTACATCATTTATACAAGTCCACCCCTGCTCTTTTCTCATTAATCTACAACTATTTAATTCAGACTTGCTTCTTGGTTATAAATTGTCATTAACATGATCCAGAATATGCTATTATTTATGAAAATGTATTCAGAAATTTATAGAAATAATAGTTTTAATTTCAAATATCTATACCCTAACAAATGGGAAAAGACTGATACACAAGTTAATCAAAGTTCAAAAGTAACAAACATATTACAGGAAATAAAAAAGAAGACACAAATCCCCCATAACTGCAGAACCCTAACACAGACACAGTTAGAGGAGTAGAATTTCCAGTCTTCTGTCTATGCATATAGGCACTTTTCGATGTTGTGATTATAATATGTATATTATTTCACGTACCTGCTTATAGGACAGCTGTCTCCATTTACCCTACCTTAGGAGTAAATTAAAAAGTGACAAATATTTATTCAGTAACTGTGTGACTAAAGTGCTATACATCTTATGAATTACATTTAGAATACATTTATTTAGGGAACCATAGTTGCATTACATCAGTTTACATTTCTGTAGTAATTAAATGTCACAAAAAGAACACAGATTTATTGTAGAACCAGTAAGTTATATAAGGTCTTCATTTAAATATTTATTTTTATAATTAATTACTAACAAAGCATTATTAATAAATCTGTTCATTAATTAAATAGCACACATAATTTTAAAGGTTTCATATTTTTGTCTTGTCTATGTATTGATAGCAAAAGAAAATTTCACTGAAGCAGGAAAGTACCTAAAAGGATATGTCATCACTGGAATTTATTCTGAAGAAGATGTTTCAATATTGTAAGTTTATTGGTCTTCTAATTTTAGGAAGGAAGAAGTTTGCAAAATAATACATTGATTGTCTTTACACAGTTGATGAAGATGATAGGGTGGCAGTATAACTAAATTTTAAGTTTCCTTCTAGGAAGATCTGGTAAGTACTACCTGGCTATTTAGAATTTTTAAATATTCTTTTACTTTAGGCTAGGGCCCCCACAGGGAATCTTGGATTCATATTACTTCATCCTCCTATATAAATTTACCTCTTTGCATTCTGTTACCTGCAATTTTGATTCTTTGGAGTTGCCATATTTTTTTGGGGGGTAGGGGGATTTTAATTTTTGAGTGCATGGGTTTTGCTTTACCATCAAGGTATATGTAAAATTCAAAGTTTTTCCAGGCTTCCAGATTTCTCCCAGAGTTTTAGTTGATGCAGCTATACCTGATAGTTCTATCTAATTTTAAGTTACTGCTAACATACACTTAATGAGTGCTTTTTTTTAGCCACTTAAGTTGCTTTTTTTTGGTAAAATTTGGGGTTCCTGTGAACTACCAAATATTTTAGTTACTGTAGAATGAAGGACTGAACTGAAAATTTGGGACGTTATGATTAATACCACATTCTGCATTAATGGCTCATTTTTAGGTGCAAGTGGAATTAAGTTTATTAGTTTGTCTTTCTTACCTTCCGACTATAATATTCCTAATAGTAATTTCTGAGCTTAAATCTTTCTGCCTAAACACTAGTGGCATATGCTTTTGATGATCAAGCTCCTGTTGTATCCATGAAATCAGTAATTTTTTTAAAAGTAAATACCGAATTCCAGATTTTCAGGACATATGAGACCTATTTACCTGACACATGGACGGTCACCCACTCTCGTCTTCTCTGCTGTCACTGTGCATTTAACTATGTATGGCCCAAACAGCTAGACCAGTAGTTTTCAGGTTATGTTTTGTTTATAACCAACTGGTCAACTAAGAGGGTAATACGAAGACTGGCCTCTCTACTAATGCTTATAACACGATATGTCTACACTTGGCTCTAGCATGAATTAAGTTTTTACGTGATATAAATGTGACTACCTGGCAGGCAATTTCACACAAAGCATTTTTTTCCCAGTTAGTGATTTTCTTTTAGGTTTAGTTAGCACAAGTAGTGGGAGCAGATTTGGGTTCTGTTTTAGTGGAAAGAGCACAGACTCAGTTATCTGCCATACCTCAGTTTGAATTTTCTCTCTTCCCTTTATCAACTTCTGAGCCCTGGTTGCCACACCTTTGAAATAGGGGTGACAGTGGCTACTTTATAAGGCTATTCTGAGGGTTAAATGAAAACTTAACTAAAAGCCCCCTATGTAGTCTCTGCAAACAGTAGGTTTCTAATAAATGCCGATCTTGCTCAGCAGTAAGGTGAGCAGTCCAGAAAGACTGAGAACCACTCAGTATGTTTCTAATCTTATTTAGACATTTTCTTGATGAGTAAGATGTGTAGAAAAAAATATGGCTAGATTATCATCTGTTGCTTTCTTTTAATCTAGGTTGTCAAGGCTCCAGGAGATAAATTTGTCTGTAAATTGAGTTCATTTTTTTTTTTTTGGTTGTAGGGCTTCCCATTTGCTGCCTCCCACCGTGACCTCTTGGCCTCATTGTTCATGTTTTTGATGACTTGCTATATTTTGGTTGAAAATTTCAATACTATATTTCTCCATAGGTCAAATAAATATACTGCAACTCTTCCTACCCTGCTGTTAGCCAGACACAAAGAAGACAAAGTAGAGAGCATTCCATTAGCTAACACCCATGCGCAAGACATAATTCAAATAATAACAAATTCATTACTGGAAACATTTGTGAGTATATCTTATAATAAGGATATTATTTGAAATAAGGATATCTAGATAGTTAAACGTAGTTTATCTTAATTGGTGATTTTCCAGCTTTTGTTGACATAGGGCATGCTGTTTGAGAGCTGAGGATTCATTGGGTCGCTCTGTTTTATTGTTCACTCATTGGGCATACAGCTTCTCTAACCCACTGCCAAAAGTTCGCATGTCTTTGGGTTATTTTTACTGCTGAGAGTAGTGTGGCTGATGGCCAGTTGAAGTTCTTAATCTTGACTGAAAGTCGGCATAAAACACAGGGATTCCAAAGAGTCAGACTGCTCAGCTCCAAAGCCTTGCTTGATTCCTCCCTGGACTTGGGCTAACTTCTCTGTGGTCAGTTTCCACTTGTGTGAATTGTAGGTGATAGTGGCACCTGCTGCAGAGAGTTATCGTAAGGACTAAGTGAGTTGTGTGTACAGTGCTCGTGTTCAGTGTTCGGCCCTGGAAACATACAACAAAATTAGCTGCTATTTTATTATTTATACGGTTTTAGAACAAAATACTGATGTATCAAAGGCCTTTTTCAGTGCTTAATTTGTATAATAGTGGATTCAGGAAACACAGGATGTAATCCGCCTTTCTTTTCTTTTCTTTTTTTTAAGTAACATACGTGTATCTTTATTTCTCACCCCGCCAGCTGTTGATCATAGTTTGACTCACTATTTTGTAGGATTCGGACATCGTCACTCCTGCCCTTCCCTTTTGCCTTCCTTTCCCAACTTCTTTTTTTTTTTTTTCCCTCAAAGATTTTTATTGGGGAATTGGGGGGATGGGAACAGCGCTGGGGAATTGGGGGAAGGGGAACAGACAAGTTGCTGT